TGTGGCCATCGAGGCCACACCTCGGCCGGGGGATGTGGAACCTCGGCCTAGACCTGGTAGTTGCCCAGCATGTTTTCCTGAGATAAAGAACTGTGTTTGTTTTGATTTGACTAAGTCTTGAGGAATGCCGAGATCATCTGTATGCATGTGAAACTTGTTTGAAGGTGCATTCAACAGATTTTGCCATGTGTTTGTAGGGTTTGGACTTGTCTTGACCCCGACGTTTGAAGTACTAAGTGAGTGGCATTTTTAATAAAGCTATGTTATAATGCTTTGATAAAGTCTTGTTTTGCTTCGTTTTGGAAAGTATTTGTAAGCATGAATGGTTATTTCTAATTAGAAAATATATATATCTTGTTTTGATGACATTCTTGGAAGTCCGTACGTGCTAAGGGACTAAAAGCACTTGTAGCACAAAGTTTGGAAGTCCGTACGTGCTAAGGGACTATAAGCATTTGTAGCATAAAGTTTGGAAGTCCGTACGTGCTAGGGGACTCTAAGCATTAGTAGCACAAGTCCTTAGTGTCCGGGGACTATAATGCAACGACACAATTGAATTGAGATATCTCCCTTGTCTTGCCTTGTCTTGTCTTGTCTTGTTTGCCACTGACGGTTTACCGCGTGGGTTTTGTTTGCCGAGATGTCATCACTTGTATTATATTAGTGTTAGTAAGCACCCTTTGAAAACTTGACAGATTTGGAAGATGGACTTGGTTCATCCCTTGACTTGCACTAATTATGTTATGTATTGTTTGATAAAGATCTTGAATACCAGTCATGCAAATCCCTTTATTTCTTATACCATCCACTGAGTATCCAAGCTCACCCTCTCTCTATATATATAGGTGATGAGGAGGAAGGCGGTGACGCCTAGGTGTGACTCGCAAGCTTGTTTTGGGTTTTTGTCATGTCGGCTTAACTTGTGTACATGTCGGCAGTCTTGAAAACTATGCTTCTCGGCTTATAATGTCTGCAATTTACACATGTCGGCTGGAGAAGCCTTTTGATCAAGACAGAAAATGTATTTTGTGTTTCATTGTATTGTATTCAAGTTGTAATACTATGTAAAGTTGTATGCCATTCCATGTAACTTACGCACTGCTCTTATGGACCGCTTGTATTTTTAAATTAATGCTTCCGCACTTGTGAGCCCCATATATATATTTATACTCTGATTGTGTGTGGATTTTTGGAGGTTGGCCTTCGGTAATCCCGGATTACTGGCCATCATGGCACCAAACTAGTAGGGGCAGTTTGGGGTCATGACACATATACAATGACAACCATCACAAGATTAGTTTCAATTCACTTAATCTACATGCAATTTCTACAACAATCAAAGTTATCCTCCACCGATAGCCCAATACAGTTATCTCTAGACAGATATTCAATCTCAACAGATAGTTTATTCAAAACTTCCAAAAGAATGAGTTAATACATAACCAATTCCACCATTTATATTAAGGCCCTCTCAATTTCACATTTTCAATGCTAATTCCAATTATTTATACAAATAAATAGTTTGACCTAATTACGGCAATTCCTTCATTTTTCCCCTAACATTAAACAAGTGCCAAAATCATCAAATCAGACATAGCACAACATCATTTTCAAAACCCACAAGCATTTATTCCATCTTCATCCAAAACCCCTGTTTCCATTTTGTGCCAAAACCCTAGGTTTGTTTGAAACATCCCCAAATCACACCATTGTTACACAAATGACAAATAACTAAGCTAAATATCATATGAAGGTATAGAAAGATCTCTACCTCAAAAGAGAAGATGAGCCAAGCAAGAGTGAAACCCCAAGAACGCCGAAACCTACTTCTATTTGGTTGAAAATGAAGATCTTGACGAGCTCTACCTTTTTCTCAAAGGCACTAGGGCAGAAATCTCAATGGATCTAGATGAAATCTAAGAGAGGAGGTGAATGTAGAGAGAGAAGCTCAAGAACAAGCTTTTTAAAAAGTTTTAGAGAGACAGAAAAGAAAAAATGATTTAAAATGTCATCTTCTCGGACTGAAATACATGCAGTCCACTCGAGCGTGGAAAGCCCTGCTCGAGCATCAGACACAAGGTTCCGCTTGAGTGTGAAAAATGGTGCTCGAGCGTGGAATGCACAATTCCATAACTTTTGCAGACGAAGGTCCCCGCTTGAGTATGAGACTAGACGCTCGAGCGTCCAATGCACTCTGCAAAAGTACTGAAGGTCAACAAATCCTGCTCGAGTGGAGGGGCAAATTCGTGAAGCCCGTTCGAGCACGAGAATGCCCGCTCGAGCAGAAAGGCCAAAATCTGGGCAACACAGGTTTTGAAATGCGAGCAACCATCCTGACTTAAACACACAACTACAACTCGATAACCAAAGAAAAAGGGAAGACATGGGAAATAGATGAGAATAATTATTTAAACCATACCAACCTGAGTCCAAAATGCAATAGATAATGGGTCAAAACCGAAATCGCTATATTTGTACTCTCCATCTTCTTCTTCATCAACCAGGTGATTAGCCAAGAACTCTACTACTGCTCGTCGACGAGAGTGAGTGTTCCTAAGGCAGGAACATGGAAGAAGTGTTGGGGCGGCTAAACACAGCTTAAACTCCCATTACGTGACGGGGTGCTTCAACCTTCAAAGCCTAATTGAGTTAGCGGTAATGAAAAGTCCTTAAGGCTGACAAGCAATAGTAGCGGCAATTAGGATAACAAAAGAGATCTGTAAATGCTAAAGTATACTTTTGGTATGAGTCTACTAGCCTTAGGTTGATATTCTGTTAGCTCTATCGAAGATAGGTATGGAAGTCACTATGGGTATATATCTAGGTATGCTTTTAGATAAAGAACCTCAGGTATGAAGATTTCGTATTAAATCTTGCGGAAGCATACTCTGGTTATAAATTTTATCTGTTGGCTTTCATGGACTTTTGTGGTAGAATCTACCGCGCTAGTGTATTGCATTTTCACAAACGTGATTTAGCTAGCTTCATGCCCACTTCGACATGAATGATTGATTGATTTACACAAATCAAAGAACTTTAGGGAAAAAGAGCCAGCCCAACCTATTCTTTCCTCTCCTTGTACATATTGGCTATCTCCCTTCTCCTGTTTTCTCCAACCTCTAACCCCACTAACTCCAACGACAGGCAAAGGCCAGTCAAGAGCTAGTCCACAAGAGAACCTTCCCACTAGAAAGGGGTAGGTTCTGGGGATGAGACGGTCTTGCATCAATTCTCGAAGAAAACACAGAACGAAGTCTTCAACTGCGGTATATCCCTTAGCTTGCAGGTCACTTGAGGAAGGGTACAGTGCTAGGGTTTTGACAGACTGAAAGCTCTCCAAAATCTGTCCATAATTGTGCTCGTTACATGAAATGAGGACCCCCTATCACTTAAAGGTAGCCTCCTAACCCGTGGAACCCATTTGCCTGGTGGATGAGAAGGCCAACTTCGCCCTTTAAAAGAATAGTCACAAAAAAAGTCACTAAGTTTCAACTTTTAGTGATAGTTTAAAAAAATTGTCACAAAAAAGTCATTAATTGTAAGTTTTAGCGATAATTTATAGAAGTCAGGACTAAAAAAGTCACTGATTGTCAATTTTTAGCGACATATGCAAAAAATGATCACAAAAAATTATTTTTAGTGACGATTTTAGTAAGACTTGTTTTCAATAGGATTTGATGGGAATAAATCAAATTATTAGGATCTATTGGTAGTTTACCCTTTTAATAATTGATGTAAAACAAATATAGAAATAGGTATATATATAAATGAAAATAATTTTGTTGATTGGTCAAAAAATTTTAGAAAATTTTTATATAAGGCTACATGGGTCCAATCATCTTCTTGGGGTGCAACTACTCCTTTAATAATTGTTGTTTGAAAAAATAAATGTACAACTTTTCTTTGTTTTAAAACTACATTTAATATATTGTAAGTTGCATTCCACTTGATTTCTATTGTTAGAAAAATCACCATATTCACTCATAGTAAAAGGTTGTTCACGTTTAAAAGTATAATTAATCAGCAAATTTTGTGCACGTACGTGATCATATGAAAATGTAGTTAAATTACCAGTTGGTGAACTTTATAATTGCATTTAATTTCTAATATCTGATTGTAGACTTTGTAAATATTTTTTATAATGTCTTTTTAGATGACTAGTGCCACATATTGATGAACTACTAAGATTTTTTGCACAAATTTTAGATTTCGTTTTCAATTCAATTTTACCATCAAGAAGAGTTATTCTATCAAAATACTCCCAGACACTAAACAGCTTAGATGATGATGCAACAATAGGGTTAGAAGAGTAGATGATGATGCAACAATACGGTTAGAAGAATTGACTGATTCATGTGATGCAATTCATCAATATTGATAAAATTATCCAAATTTACATTAGGATCCATATTAAAACGAGTAATATATATTAATTAAAAATTAATTAAAAAAATAAGTAACTAATAATTATCAATTAAAACAATTAAAGTTACCAAATAATGAATGTGATATAAAAATTAGCATGCAATACAAAAATTGAGTAATGCTAGAGACCCCAACTATTCTACCAAAAGTTTTACCAAATGTCTCACATGGTGTGGGACTCACACAATGTCCCACACCCATATGAGACATTTGTTAAAATTTTTTGTAGAATTTTTAGAGCCTCTAGCATTTTTGTTTGCTTATTCTAATAAATATTTTTTTTTACACAATTACAATTATCACTTATAAAAGAGACTCCAAAGTTGAGAGAGTTGAGGGTTGACAGAATAGGAGTTGAGAGATTGTTGTGTGAAAAAGAAAAACATTTATAGATTTAAAAATTAAGAGAAAGAAATAAAATAAAATTCGAATGGGTGAAATTTTGACCTTGAGAAAGAGGAGCAGGTGACCGTTGGGACCTCGGGCTGGGCTGCGGGCCTAATCGGACCGAGATCGGGTGGGCTTGGGCGGCCCGCAGATTATTTTTACCCCCTGATTCGCTTTACTATTTCAACATCCTCAGCACCGCATGCCCTCTCTCTCTGTCATTTTGGATCGTTGCTCGTCTCTCTGTGCATCGTTAGGTTTGCAGTCAACTTTGAGTTCGAATTCGAAATTTCAAGCTGAAACCCTAGCATCTTTTGCACTCTTCTCTGTCCTGCCTTCCACGCTCAACAGGTCAAACTAGCGCTGCCGCCGAGGTAAACTTTACTTCTGAAGCTCGATTTTGGTCTCAAACTGATTTTTTGTTCGATTCACTTCTCTCTATCTTCATTCATGTGTATATAGTTTTATGGCATATGTGTATATATATGTATATATGTGTGTTTGTGCTTTGGTACTTGAACTGGCTTAAATTCTTGGGTTATGATGTTGGAGGTGTGTGATATTAACAGGTGATAGTTTTTGTTTAGGTAAACTGTTTGACAAAATGCCTCAATGAAAGTTAGAGTTAAATGATTCTTGAAATAGTAGTAATATTTTAGTTGTTTTGGCAGTAAAAGATTGTATTTTTAGCCACCTATTAGGGGTTGTAATAGTTTGATGTAATTTTGCAACATATGGCATTGACTTTGATTACTATTTTGATGTAGAAAGGTAAAAATGTGTACGAAGGGGAGTACTGAAAGTTGGCCTCGGGTTTGTGTCTTTTGGAAATTTTGTCCACTGCTTCTCTCAGCATAAACTTATACTAGCAAACTTCAACAACTATAACCATCATCAACAATTCTAAAACATATCATACACGATTAGCTTCTAAAAATTGCAAAGTACCAGAAAAAAAATAATAGGATGAAGAGAGTTTAAGTGGAAACAAGTCATTCTTCCGGCCCATGTTCCAGATAGGCATCATTGGATTTTGGAGGTATGAATTTGATTACGTCTGTGAATCTAAAGAGAGGCTGATTTTTCACTGAAATTTCAGACCTTTTGCAACGATGCTATCTGATTACAACATTTTATATTAAAAAACTGTTCTTCAAGAATGTAAGACCACCTCTTTGTCTTCCTTGCAAGTGGGTGGGGATGTCCTGGCCGCTCCCGCTCCCGCTCCTGCTCCCTGCTGGGATAAAGAAGCAACAATTGTAGTGGTGTAATGCCTCCAAATAAATAACATAATAATAATTCTGATTATTCCATTCAATCAAAACAATCTCAATTCCATAGGTCAAATCTGTACGCTTATATTCCATATCATGTGAGAGATTTACAAAAGGACATGCGATACATATTCAATTCTCTTAAAGTTTGAATCCATAGCATGTGAAATAAAAGGTGCAAGAAATAACACAAAAGAATGCCCCATGAGTTATAAATTCCAAGGCTGAGACCCGGTTATACAAAACATGGTTATCAAACCCATACATTCAAAGCCCTAGGCTTGTCAAAAATATCAACACAAAATATATATATATGGATTACCACATCCTTTCCTATACGAATCTACTAGGGGTGAGCACAAAACCTAATAGGAAGTTCTTAACAAAGTATGGCCTCGTTTGGGTTATTTTGGTAAACTATTTTAGTTTTTGGTTATTTTAGTAGGCTAAAATATTTGTGTTTGGGAAGATAGTTGGATTTTTTTGTAATTGGATGTAATATTTGTGAGAGAAAAAGTGAACTGATTATGGATTTGATGTGATATTTTGTCTTATTGGCTATTTTAGTCTATTTTTTTCTTTTTGTGGATTTTAGCCGAAAAAGCAAAAAAAAAAGGCCTTTGCCAAACAGGGCCTATATATCTTTAAGCAGTCTTATATATGAATGCAATGTCATATAATGCTCCAAATTCACAAGTTCAATTCTTTTGAAATCATATGCAATGTTCTTTTCAAAAAGTTTATTATTCCAAAGAATTTTGAAATATAACATACGGGGTGACAAACATGACTTAGGTAATCCCTAGGCTAGTGTCTGCAAGTAGACATATCAAGCACTACCAATCTTCTATTTTACCGGCTCCTAACCGAAAGGCACGTGGTACCTACTCTGCGCATGTTTTCGGTCTTTTACCCTAGACACTCAGGCCAACTTAAACAATATCAAACTTCACCCCCTATTTGGATTTTCCAACGTATTTACCCTGAAACATTTTAAGACCAACAATTGTTTTCTCAAAGCAATAAATCAATTTCCAAAACATTGCCATAATAAACCATATTCAAAGGCTATGCAATTGAATGAAATGAAATGCAATTATATAGTTCCATTATACTATTTTCTCAATTTTCAACATTTACCCAATGTGAAATGCAATGTTCAATATTTCTCAAATAATATCCAAATCCATGTAACATATGATACCATTCCTTAATCACAATTTATACAGTCATCAATTTCCATGGTCCAAGTATCCTCAACATACTATCCATGGCAAAATTTCCAACCAAAGTCCACCCATTTCATATATGGTTCAACAAGATGGCAACATATGATTTTTCCTCATCGTTTTTTCAACAAAATCCCATGATCTCAAGAATTTTCTTCAATGATTTCAACTTTTACCCAAATTTCAAAATCTAGGGTTTTCACTCAAAATGAATTTCTTCCATTTTAAAAAGCTATTTTGTCAATAGACTTCCAAGAGTCACACGTTTCATAATTTAAAGTCAATTTCATGGGAAGGATGAGAAAATTACCACTTTTAGAACACATTAAAAACCACACTCAACCCCAAACTCAAAACCTAGTTGTTTCATCAAAGAAAATGGCTAAAACATGCTAAAACCATATATATAATTCAAAGAAACTCCTTATCTCAAGATTGTAGAAGAAAAGATGAGAAAAGCTCCAAAACCGACGGTGTCAAAAACCAATCTTCATGGCACACTTTGTAGCCCTTGGTGAGCTCTCCAAGTTTAATAAAGCTACAAGCGTTGAATCTCCAATGGATTTGGAGAAATCAAGAACTCTATGTGGGTGGCTGGATGATTTCTAGAGAGAGAGAGAGAGAGAGTGTGGCCTCAGATTTTAAGTTAGTGGGCACATTTTATGAAACTGACTCTGGATAGACTGCTCGAACAATGGATCTTGCGCTTGAGTGGTGAATTCAAACTCCCAGAATCTCTTTCCTCTGCAAGCAGACTACTCGAGCGGTGAAAACTTCGCTCGAGCAGTGAATGCACACTCCTAGAATTTCAGATTTCAGAACAAAGAACTAGGTGGACAGGTTTATTGCTTGAGCAACAAAATGACCGTTCGAGCGAATTCCCCTTTCAAGAGAGGCAAAAATCGACCTTTGAGCATTCCACCATTCTCGGAATCACTCCAACACCCAAAGACGCAAGTTGACACCTTGGAAACACACAAAGAGGAATCATAAGGAGAATAGATGACAACACGTGACTCGTAGAACTCAAAAGCAACAAAGACACCAAAAGTAAAGAGATTTCGAATAAACATACTCAAATTGCTTGCTAAAGGGCTCGGGGCATCCCAAGTGGCACAACAATGATAATTCCCATTATGATGAACACTCATTTCATGCTCCATTAGTCTTCTTTTCCATTTGATATTAGTTTGCATATCATATAAAATGTCTATTTCTGTCTTGAACACACCGTAATTATTTTTTAGGAGAATAGATGACAACACGTGACTCGTAGAACTCAAAAGCAACAAAGACACCAAAAGTAAAGAGATTTCGAATAAACATACTCAAATTGCTTGCTAAAAGGCTCGGGGCATCCCAAGTGGCACAACAATGATAATTCCCATTATGATGAACACTCATTTCATGCTCCATCAGTCTTCTTTTCCATTTGATATTAGTTTGCATATCATATAAAATGTCTATTTCTGTCTTGAACACACCGTAATTATTTTTTTTTAAGTGACATGTGACCATCACCCGATAGAGATAAGGAAGATGATGATAAAGAAAAATAGAGATTGAGGAAGAACGTGATTGATTGATTTTAGGAGAGATCCACTGAGAAGGAGAAGTTTTCTTTTAGCACGGAAACGTAGACTAATTGATGAGTGATTTTGCGATGAATTTGCAGAGGAGAAGTTACCTATTTGAATGAAAATAATAATGATCACCAAGAAAATAAGTAACAAGTGTCAAACTTCGTCAGCTATTTTTAGTACCACATACAGCGATTAACAAAAGACATGTTGCTTTATGAATTTGGTACTTTATCTTCTTGATGTAAAGAAATCCTACATGTTTAAATTCTTCATCTAGTTCTGTTTGTATGAGCTAACCAAATATGCAGGCAAGTTACGCTGAATGTTCTTTTTTTGGTGGGTAATTTTTTGTATTATCTTGTCTGTATCCAGCAGGCTTTCTTTTCTTTTGTTTCTTCTCTGTGGTGAAAGAAAAAAGTAGGTAAAAAAAATCATGAAGATCATTATATTATATCATTAAATTAGCTTATCAATCATATTTTGTCACTTAAATTGCAGTCAAAATAATGCCGAAGGTGAAGACAAACCGTGTCAAATATCCCGAGGGTTGGGAATTGATAGAACCTACTCTTCGTGAACTACAAGCAAAGATGAGAGAAGGTTTTGATCATTTCTGTGTTTCACAGTACCGTCACGAGTACAGTTTCTTTATCTTGTTCTCTCAAACATAAGAAAATAATAATAAAAATTTTCTTTTATGTCCTGGACAGCTGAGAATGATCCGCATGATGGCAAAAGGAAATGTGAGGCATTGTGGCCTATTTTCAAAATAGCACATCAGAAAAGTCGCTATATTTTTGACCTGTATCACCGGAGGAGGGAAATATCCAAAGAATTGTATGAGTTCTGCTTGGAGCAAGGTTATGCAGACCACAATCTGATTGCAAAGTGGAAGAAGGTTTGTCTCACCCCCTCTTGAGATTATTTAATGCATAGCATCCTCTGCTTTGCTTTTTCCTTTTGTGTCCTTCTGATATAATGGTATTTCAAGCTCGGGACGATTCTTACCTTATTTAGTACACCCTTCGTCGCAAATTGTTAGTCCATCTTTCCAATTTGGGATGTCCCAAAATATAGTCGCCTCTTTAAAAAGTCACATGAAATTTTATAATTTTCCAAAGGTTTCTCTTCTAACTGGCAATGAGTATATTTTAAAGTGGGAAAAGGAGTGATTCTGGAAATTAATGTCTTGTGATTTGAATTTAAATGCATTAATTGCATACTCTCTTAAAAAGTTAGAATTCTCAAAAGACACTAACAATTAACAAATTTGTAATTAGTAAGGAGAATGTCTAGAATGTCAGCAAGAACTTAAAAACCTCTCAAACTGCTATAGATGTTGTTTCTTGAAGTACCAGAGAGTTTGTTCACAAAGATGTATTAGACTATGTGCTGTAACTGTTTGATTTATGCTTACATGAAAAAGTTCTAATAAGGGAATTTCGTATAGGGGGAATAAATTGTAGCATCAGGATTCTCTCTCTCTCTCTAGCAGAAAAAAATGTGTTATATTCTAATTGTTTGTCCTTCTATTTGCAGCCTGGTTATGAACGTCTCTGCTGCTTAAGATGCATGCAACCGAGGGATCACAACTTCCAAACAACATGCGTTTGCCGAGTCCCAAAGCATCTGAGGGAGGAGAAGGTAATAGAGTGCGTTCATTGTGGTTGTAAGGGCTGTGCAAGTGGTGACTGAACAGTCTTCTTCTACCCAGTGTATAACATAGATCTCATGACTGTTATGTTTCTATTCTTGCACAACCAAGGTTTGAATTATCTGAGCCAAAGCTGGTACTTTAAAAAGCTGGCCTTGACCTTTGTTATGATTATGATTTTCTGAACGTGTATGAAAATCTTTGACTGAGACTTTCAAGTTTACCCTTTGGCTGGATTTGTTATACTTCTCCATCAAATAGCTTGTTGGAATGTAACTGTGTAGTTTGTGTACCTTAGTAATAAGAACTTGATTCTACTCAAGTTGTAGGACAAGCATCCTATTTGGTGTAACTGTTAGTAAGTTGAAAGCTCATTATCTTCTTTCCGATGTACCCAAAAAGAGAAAAGAAAGCTGATAATCAAAAATCAAAAAGCCAAAAGACCTTTCTCCTTCCTTCCCAATAATCATATTTTTTTGAGCTTATTTGAGCTATTTCTACTACCTCATAAGCTATAAGCAAAAGTTGAGTTTGAAAATAATAATAAAAGCAAACCAACAATAAGCTCAGTAAGTTGCACCAAATAGCCCCAAGAACGAGAAGCATTGACAAAGAAGAGTACAACAAATATGTTAAACTTCTCTTCAAAAAACTCGAGAAGCATTGACAAAGAAGAGCACAACAAATATGTTAAACTTCTCTCCAAAAAACTCGAGAAGCATTGACAAAGAAGAGCACAACAAATATGTTAAACTTCTCTCCAAAAAAACTCCAACCTGGCACCTAAAAATATATACATAACCAAAACACCCTCCAACCAACTAGAGCTAGTTCAGTTGAATTGTATCATAAATCTCACAATGATTCAATGCCCATTCTTCTCCCACGAAACCACCCCCAACGCCTTGCCACAATGATTCAATGCCCATCATAAGCTATAACTTTATTCTTTCATTGTAAAAGAAACCTATTGGATGAGTAAGCTCTAGAACATCATGTATATCAATAGGTCCCCTATAAAAGCTTTAGCAATGATGGAAAAGAGTGGGCCTTCTTTTTTAACACTACCTGATTAGGTCTTTTTATTATTATTATTTTATTTTAGATGGGAAGAGTGAGAGGGGAATAGGAGAACGGGGGATCCCAGGGTTGAAACGAGTGTGCTAAATGATTCAATGCCCATCATGAGCTATAACTTCATTCTTTCATTGAAAAAGAAACCTATTGGATGAGTAAGCTCTAGAACATCATGTATATCAATAGGTTTAGCAATGATGGAAAAGAGTGGGTCTTCTTTTTTAACGAAAATTGTTTGAGACCACTAAAACAATGAGCTCTAATAGCTCTAAAAACACGGTGCCCCTAATTGATTTGATGTTTTGCTCTTTGTTTTTTTTTTTAATTTTATTTTTTGGATTGCCAGCTCATTAGAGCTGGCTTAGTGGTCCATTTTTAGTGGGATCTATCACCACTGCTTTTTTAACACTACTTGATTAGGTCTTTTTATTATTATTATTTTATTTTAGATGGGAAGAGTGAGAAGGGGAATAGGAGAACGGGGGATCCCAGGGTTGAAACGAGTGTGCTAAGTGTAGAAGGCGGGTGTTGTGTTTTTTACTGCATGAACAACTCCTTTGATACCGGTTTTATTCTTTCTTCAATAGACTGAGGTCCTATTGTTCTGAGCCGGAGTCTATCAATACTTGTAAATGTTGCCCAGTTGATCATAGTGGGTTAAGCCCACTCTTTACCCATATGGATATTGAGTCCAGTCCAGTCCACTGCCCTTTCACTCTTCATTTGGAAGCCCAGTGAGAGATTTGAAGAGTTGACTTGGTTGCTTTTGTTTCTTTTTAGCTGGTCAGGCCAAAACTAGATCAGAACCTGTTATGCAGTTAAAATGGTTTCAGATAATACTAATAATTAGGGTTAATTACACTTTTCACACCTATAGTTTGATTCAAATTTCGCTTTAACCCTTGTAGTTTCAAATTGAACAATTTAGAACCTATACTTTTAAGTTCAGTTTCAATTTGGTCATTCCATTCAAATTTCTGTTAATTTTGTCTGTCACCTTAGAAAACTGACTAGAGTCCCAAAATTGTTATGTTTAATCTCAAATTTGGATGGAATGATTAAACTAAAACTGAACTTTAAGTGTAAGGATTAAATTGTTCAAGTTGAAATTATGAGGACTAAAGTGAAATTTAGATCAAACTATAGGGGTAAAAAGTATAATTAACCCTAATAATTATAAAATATAACAAATGACATTGTAATAAAATGGTTGATGCGATTGCTAGTTTGTATTAGCATGCATAGGGAAAATGTTAATGACCCTCCAAAATGCTTTGAAATATATATAAAAAAATTCAACATTTCTTTTTTGTTGACATTTTTTCTTCTTATTGATGGCCTTAAAAGTTGTTACTAACACCATCTTACAGTAAATATAACTATCTTTCCCCTTTCTTTCACCTTTTTTTATGGTTTTTGTGTAAGCATAATGGTTCCTCTCTCGTACCCCAAAATCTCTCTCCCTCTCTCTCTTCATGAATTTCTTTAATCTCATTTTTCCCTAGATGTCATGCCAACCTATTAAATTAGACCAGTGGCCTCTCTACCCAACTTGGACTTTTACAAGCTCACTCTTTACTTTTTAATTGTGTTGATTTTGTGGTGTGTTTCTACTGACTGACTCTACTTATAGTAAACTGCTGTTGGATGCGTTCTTTTTTATTCTGTTGAAAAGAGTATACATTCAACTGGTGACATCATCTCTTGATCCCTTATCCTTAGCTATCATTTTCTGCCTAAAATGCCAAAACATATTGCATGTCATGACAATGAACGACTCATTGAGCACCTTAATATGCAAAAGTCTAACAGTGAACGGCAATGATGTGAATTTCTTATAGCTTGGATACAATTTACTTTGTGCATCCTCTAGAAGTTTGAAATATTTTATAGTTTCTTCATTTGGACCTGTGCAAGCCTCATTTGTACTTCGATCATCATTCTCAACACTTGCATGTACATGTGGATTTCTTAGAGTATCATTTAGCATTTCAATCATATCCTTAACATTTGAATCCACCAAAGTTTTCATATCCTCGTTACCATGCAAAGGAACATATGATTCACCATGATTAGTCCAATTTTTGTACTTCCATTACTCTAAAGACGATCCTTCACAACTTCTCGTGAAAAATTATAGTGATTCTCACAATTCTTACAAGGACAACTGATACATGAACCTTCAGTCCTATTGGTTTATGCAAACTTAAGGACTGTATCAAATCCCATCCAAGTACTCCCTTGACATCCTAGTTAATGAATAAATCCAATTTTTATCCATCGTCCCACTTTTCTTAACTTTACCTGTGAAAATTGCATCACATTATTTAGCCATTTTGCATCACATTATTTAGCCATTACAATTTAAAACAGTGAGCTACAAACTACAATATAGATTTATGCATAGCCAAATTGTTTGAAATTGGACAATTCAAAAACTATGTCATCAAATACATTAACTCCGTTGAGGATTCTTCAATGGGTCTAAGGTTGTTTGTGTATATGATGTAATGACCATAATGTCGCCTTTTTATTATTGCAAAACAATTTCTATATTATTTAGAAAGCAAATATGTTTCTAAAAAAATAAATATAAGTGAAATAGGTTCTCTCTATATATATTAATAAAAGGAAAAATTAATTTAAGGTCCCTCTCTCATTTTTAGTAATGGAATATTATTTTATAATGTCTAAGGTCTTTTAACCCCACACTCATATATTACAGAGAAATTTGACTTTCTTAAATCAATCCCCCCCTTTCTCTCTCTCTCTCCTAATCTCATCTAATCTAAAAAAAACACACACACACACTCTTCAGCTCAAAACCATTCACTCACTTTCACACACACACACACACACACACACAAAATGAGGGAACCAGAAGAAGAAGTGAGAGAAAAGTCCAACGGTGTGGTTATGGAGATTAGTGGGAAGCAAAGCCATGGCAAAGGAGTCAGTTTCGGCGGTGTACTCCAGCGTGTGGGGGCTAAGATTTTCTTTCCAGATTCTGCGTATGGGTCAACACCTGTCATCTACCGGATCAAAGCCTCTCTCTTCGAGAATGTTCCTCACCTCTGCCAGGCTTCTCGAAACACCGGCCATGATGTCCTTCTCTGGGCTCGCCTTGGAACTCCTCTCCGTGCCCTCGTTGAATATGTGAGTATCACCCACAACAAACCACACACATTTTTGTATATGTATGTATTCAGAGAAAATTCCCAGAACTTCTCTGGAGAGACATTCTCTGGTAGGGATGTAAGAAAAATCGAAAAAATCGACCAAACTGATTGAATCAGACCAAACTGGCTATATTTGGTCTGTTTTTTAACAAGAATCTGTCTGTGCGGTTTTTAAATTTGATTTTTTTCGATTTTCGGTTTGGTATCGGTTTAAGCACCTTGTGCACCGATCTAAATAGAAACCGACTGCTTCAACATATATTATATTTATAATAATAAATTATTAACCTTAATTAATTAACCTTATCATCTTTATAACCTAAGTTTGTAAACTCTTATTATATATAATCTTAACTCTAACTCATTATTCTTGAAACCTTAGTATTTTTACACTTTTTTTTGTTTTTATTTTTGTTAATTTAGGAATTAAAAAGTATATATTAAATGGATGGATTGGATATGTTTGAAATTGTAGACAAATAACTAATTTTATGTTTTTATATAGATTAATGATTATATTTAAAAGTGGTTCAAGTTTGAAAAATTCTAAACTGATTAAGCTGCACAAAACTGAACTGTTTCAATTGGTTCGGTTCGGTGCGGTTTAATGTGAGAAGCGGTCTGTATCGGTGTTCAAAATAATAAAATCGACATTATCGGTTCGGTGTAATTTTTTAATTAAATATCGACCGTATTGAACCGATTACATCCCTATTCTCTAGGAAGTCAAGAGAAATTCTAGATCAAATTTTCTCTGGATCGATATTGAGAGACCCTAAAAAAAAATCCCCTTAACAGAATATAGTTTCTGTTTTTTCTATTTAAAAAACACTATGGTGTGTACAATACATGTAAAACATTTTCTGTGTTACTTTAAAAATTAAATATGTTATTTGAAAAAAAAATAACAGTGAAACAGTTTATGTTCAAATAAGACAATTTTGTATTTTATTATATATATTAATAATAGATCGATATTGAGAGACCCTAAAAAAAAATCCCCTTAACAGAATATAGTTT